GGCTGGCAAGCCACTCCCACAAAGCAGGCCACACCTACAGAAGAGGTTCCAAAAATTGTTGAAACCCATCACTGATAAGCAAAATAGCAATAGCAATAGCAGTTAGACTTATATACCGCTTCATAGGGCTTTCAGCCCTCTCTAAGCGGTTTACAGAGTCAGCATATCGCCCCCACAGTCTGGGTCCTCATTTCACCCACCTCGGAAGGATGGAAGGCTGAGTCAACCTTGAGCCGGTGAGATTTGAACCGCTGAACTGCAGATAGCAGTCAGCTGAAGTGGCCTGCAGTATTGCACTCTAACCACTGCGCCATCTCAGCTCTTGAACTAACTCAGGCCACTAATGAATGTATCAGTCTTTCAGCATAGTCTCTCCATCATATGATAAGTTAACAAAAACACTTGTTATTAATCATTGAAAAATATACATTTCTATCCAGTCAAATTAAACCATTTGATTTTAGAACTTTTCCCCCACTTCTGTCATGATTTTTTTGTAAATAGTTTAAACACTATAACCTAACTGTTACACGTAAATGAACAGTGTAAGATTTAGAGGTGTCCTTCATATTGGACTTTTACTTGATGTAAGTAACACATCTGCATTTTTTATAACACTGGGAAACCACAAGAGCATGATGAGTCATTTGTGTTGCATCCACAGATTCAAATAGATTTTCAAATCTTAAGAATTCTGGTAACTTTATTCCACCGTGAAGATGAAATTAGCAGATTAGCTGTGAAGTAAAGGAACCCATTCCTTTATGTTTTGCATTTGATTGTGTGTGCATTTTTTAAACATTTACACTAGTTTTAGGATTTATTTGTTTTATTACTATTTAACACATAGATCTAAAGTAAATCATTGTTTTCATGTGCGACATATAATGTAATATAATGTATGTTTGGTGATAAAATAAGTCTTCTGGCAAAGGGAGGGGGAGGGAGGAAGGAAGGAAAATAGATTATTTAGTGTGTTGCAGTTTAGCTTAAATAATGTATATGTAAATGTATTCCTTCTCTTTCTAGTTCTCTTCTTTTCCTTCTCCTTTTCCTTTTCCCCTCTTTTAATCTCAAAGAAAACTCATGCATTTTAATCAAAGTAAAAGTTATTATTCCACATTTGTAAAGTCTAACAAATATTTATCAAGTGAACTGCCTTGGCTGGGAGTGGAATTTTGTGTGAACACATCAGTATGTGTGAGTGTATAACCATTGTGCATTTGTATTTATACCCATTTTTTAAAGTAAATTTGGTTAGAGAGAAACGCAAGAGAAAGCATAATATTATTTTGCTGCTGGTTCTCCTTTTGAAATGTTTTGGCAATTATGGCACAGTTTTAAAGTTTTTTCTCCCTAGTTAAATAACAGAATAACATGGTTGGACGTGACCATAAATGTAGTTACTGCAAGTCCATAGTAGCTGGCTAAATTGCAAACCCTTCTTGATTTCTTTATCTTTGACAAATGTATATGCAAGATTAAGCCTGCTTTCTTAAAAGAAGGGTCTGTTTTTTTCAAAACTAAATTATTATCTATTTATTATTTATTTATCCAATTTATATGGCCAGCCATCTTGCAAAAAGTGACTCTAGGAATGACATGCAACAATCATGGTACTTAAAATGATAAATATATAACAACAGGTATTCATTAAAATGTAAAAATAAAAAGCAAAGTGTAAGAGAGAATAATTACGGTAATGATGGAGCCACCTCAAGATTTCACTGGTCCCCTTGGGATTCCCCTTCCCCACCCCCCAAGCCTGATGCATAGCCTGATTTTGAGAAACTGTACTTCTGATGTATTAACAAAGATGCAGCTAATCTTATTTGTGGCAGGAACAAGGAGAGAATGTTCTATAAGAGGACTGTAATTTCATTAGATTTCATGGGACATATTGATTATGATTTCAGTTCGAATTTCAATATTATATGAACATGGCAAACTGTATACTAGTTTCTCCTTTTCTTTATATTAGTAGGATAGGACAGTTTTCTTGTCTATCCTCGTATTCATACTTCTGTGTATAAATTGAGAATTTTTATCTGGCAAATATCAACCAGAATAATTATCCTACTCTAATCTACAGCATCGTTGCTACATTTTCTCCTGCAATTTAGCAGTTGCACTCAAGTTACAGCTTGCTTTGCCAGATGGATTACATTATTCCATATTTATTTGTTTTTGAGGGGAACAAGAGAAATCCCCTTAATGGTTTAGAACTCAGTACTAAAAATGATTGATGCATATAGTGCTTCTTCAGAGTTGTAATTCAGAGAGATAAGGCATACAATTTCCAACAGAAGTTATTCCAGAGTATGAAAGTTACCTGGTAGAAGCTTAATACTGAATGCTCCCAACATCCACTTGTGAGCTTTGATAACCAGAAAAGGCTTAGCATTAGCCTACTTTCAAATATAGCAGTCCCGCACAACCAGTAAAGGAGAAAGGGTCACATCACTAAATGGAAATTATTCAGATCCCAAATAAACACCTGTTAGCTGTCTCATTACTAGAAGAGAGATAGAGTAGTGGAGCTGGTGATAGCAGTTTGAGGCTTCCAGCAGCATGGCTTTTGAAGTAGCTGTGGCAAACTTATTGCTTTTTAAAAGAATGCCAGCAGGCCACACAAGTCTGCTTAGTAGGCCTCATTTTGTTCCTTAAGTCAGTGAAGTGGGTTGGACAGCCATGGTTCCTTCATGATTTGATTGAATCAGGAGTGGTGGACCTGATAACATTCTACTCTACTATGATGATAGGCCTGGCCACAGAGTGTGATATCTATTTGTGCCTCATCCTGTTTCCATTCTTCATCTGATAATCTCTGGCATGTGATAGTCATGACACTTCATGCTTACTGCAACATATGATTGTGCAATTATTGTTGAATGTGAACAACTGTTTGAAATCATCCAGTTTGGGCCATTGCTCTGCCTTGTCCTGTGCAAAAAAGCTCCTTGCTTTTTTAAATCTAAAATTAATTAATTAAGTAACATCAAATCATAATATTTTGGTTTTAACTACCGTAAATATGATTATTCTTCCAGTTTTCAACTTGTGGCACATATATGGAAGTATTCTTAAGTTTGCATGTGGCTTTAGATCCGCAGGTTGCTGTTTGTGCCTACAGGGAGATTCAGCTCATAGTCTCCTGGTTTCTAGTCTGGTACCTTAAAAACAACACTAAACTGGCTTCATTTTTGGTATTATCACTACCTTTTTTCAGATGGGATGACTTGAGATTTATATCCGCTTCCTTAATTTTGATAACAGTTTTGTTTAATACACTATAACAAATTTGTTTGTTTTTTTTTAAATTTACCCCCACCCCCCTAATCTCACCTCAGGAAAATTCTGGCAGCTTACATTAAAGTTTGAATTATGGAATACAATAGTATGCTTTATTGTCCAGGTATGCTGGGACTCACAAGAAATTTGTCTTTGGTGCATATGCTCTCAATGTACATAAAAGAAAAGATACATTCATCACAAATCATAAGGTACAAGACTTAATATTAGTCATAGGTACAAATAAGCAATCAAATCATACTACGAAATAACCAATATAAATCGTAAGGATACAAGCAAAAACGTTGTAGTCATACAGTCATAAGTATGAGAAAATGGGTGATAGGAACGATGAGAAGATTAATAGTAATAATAATGCAGACTTAGTAAATAAGTTGTCAGTGTTAAAGGAATTATTTGTTTAGCAGAGTGATGGCATTCCCGGAAAAATGTTCTTGTGTCTAGTTGTTCTGATGTACAGTGCTCTATCGAGTCGTTTTGAGGGTAGGAGTTGAAACAATTTATGTCCAGAATGTGAGGGGTCTGTAAATATACTTGCTGTGGTCCGTGGGATGTAGTTTGGCTTTCAAGATGCTTCACTTCAGGACTCTCTTTCCTAATTTTGCCACTGAGAGTGCACCTGCCCTGTTCCTCCCTCCATAATTTTTTAAAATTATGTGATGCATTTGCAACTCTGGAAAGTATACCTAAACAAGTGTGTGTTAGGAGAAAATATAGAAAGAAATGCATAACTATATGTTAAGAAAAAGTATCCAATACTGCACTATAAAAGAGGTTTGTTTAAGAAAAATATGTATTTTAGAACAGCATGCATAAATAAGTATATATTGGAATAAACATCCTTGAAGAATTGGATATAATGGTGCTGTTATCGTTGTGTCTTCCATAACCAGGCAGGGATGATACTCAGCTCTAAGAAAAGTGAAACATAAAAATGCTATATTGATATTTAGGGAATGAAATCTTACAGACATTTTCTTCCTGACAATTCAGAATCTTTTCTGTTAAAACCGCTATCACCACAGAGAAGTGCTGAGAGTGCAGTAACGTGGTGAATTTCATAGTCCAAAGTTACATATCTGTTACTCTTTATTGACAGCTCCGTAGACTTACTCATTTTAAAACAATTGCTCAGAGAAACATGATTCCCCAAAGAAAAATGGTAATGCCTTTGCAGCTATGGCAGCTTTCTATTATTCAGCATTGCACACATTTTGCTTTCGGACACATTTATAAGTGCAAGAACATCATGAGCTTGAACTAGAACCTATTGTGAGGATTTGAAATAGGACTCCATATTTGTATCCTTGTACCTGTATTTTATAAGAGGCATTGAAATATATATAATATTTGGCTGTTGGTTTGCCATCAGAAATATTCTAGAATCATGTTTTTCTGGTTAATTAGAATTAATTTTTGTCATTCTGATACCATCCCTTGCTAGTTGGGACCGATTTGAAGAGTGCTGCCTGTTGTGGTTTATATTTTAATTTGGGTTTCTGTTCTGGTTTATGAACAATAATAAGGCCTTGCTTGAATATTCACTGCCTTTTAAATGTTGAACTAAGGAAGATGCTTTCTCTTATTTTAATGATAGCAGCACGGCATGGGATTGATCAGTAGTGACATTTGATTGGAGAGATCCAGCACATTTGCCTGTTGTTTATTGAAGTATTTTCTTCAAACAGCTCCCTCGCAAGTTAGTGGTGTAATGAAAGAAAAAGTGCTGCAAAGGAGTGTGGAGCTTTCCTGGCAGGAACCTGAGCATCCCAATGGAGTCATCACAGAATATGAAATCAAGTATTATGAGAAAGTAAGCATTACTTTGAATGTGGGCCATTCTTCTGTTCGTGTCATTGCAATAACTTTCTGTAGCGGACTAACATTTTATATAGCCAGCCTGCAGCCTTAATTTTGGTTGCCATTCTGTATTACTACTGAAGATAATCTTACCCATTTGATTCTGTCTTCTCTAATGCACAAAGAGAAGGTAGTAAAATTAAGACATCATTTTAAAGAACAAGAGCTTCGATTGATGAATTATTGAGGGCAACCTTATTGATAATGCCCAAAGCAATTAGTTAGGATACACTACAGGTAGTCCTCAAGTTACAAAGGCAACTGGAACCAATATTTCCATCGCTAAACAATGCAGTCATAAACTGTGATGTCACATGGCCACATTGCTGAGCAATGGTAATCTCTACAATTTATGTTGCAGTTGTTAAACAAACATTGTAGGTTTGTACGTAAGTGCCTCCTTACAATGTCCTGCTGGCTTCCAACAACTGAACTCATTGGAGAAGTCAGAAAGAAGTGCTAGGTGGCTTTGCAAGTGAGCTGACAAACAGATAAGTGACTGCTGCTGAGTGGGAGGACATGCACTGGTAGACAGCGAGGTGCAGCAGGGTTTGGATGGATGGTTGCTGCTGACAACGAAGTTGCAAAAGAGGTGGGGAGATGCAGCACAACTGTAACAGGGTTTAGAGTCATTGCTGCCAGGCCAGAGAGTGTGCCTAAGTGACTGGGGAGGTACAGGGCAAGCACAGTGAGGCTTGAGGAGGGTATGCAAGTGTCATGGGAACTGTATTGCCAACACAGTGAGGCTCAAGAAGGGCAAACAAGGATGTGTGAGTGCCTAGAATGGCTTGTCACAAGCAGCAAAGCTCAGGGAAAATATATAAATGGCTGTGGAAGAGCAGTGTAATCCTAGTGAGGCATGGCAAAGGGCTGCAGGAAGATGGGTGGCAGAAATACAGAGGATCTGGGGACAGTGCCCAGGTAGGGGGAGACTTACCTGAGTAACTTTCAAACTTCCCTTTTCCCATTGACTTTGACTTGTGGGAAGCGAGCGAAGAAAGTCAGAAATTTAAAGCAGGTGATCACAGGAAGCTCAACCATTGGAAGGGCAAGCTTGTATTCTTCTAAACATACATTACATTCACATGGTAAAATTCACAGAGTCCTCATCTAGTGACTGCTGCTTTTAGTGTCTGTTCCAAGTTACAATGGTAATTAAAATAGTTTTGTAGCCAATCCTTGCAGTTACAACCTTTCCAGGTCTGTAAAGCTAAGGAAAGATGAAGTAATGTCATAAGCATATTTACAATTTCACTTAGCAACTGTTTCATTTAATTACTATTTTTCCCCTTCCTTAGTTTCTGTCTCATTCCATTTTTCTGTATTTTAGAAATAATTTGGAGAGAGTAAAATTCGTTAAAATTTCTTTAATTTTCAATTCCGAAACACTGCATGATGGCTACTGCTTACATTCTCAGTGAATCAGGCAATTATGGCTATCAGTGGCATCTTCTCAAACATGAATACCATTGGATGAGATTCAATCCTAAGACTAGAAGTAGTCCACATTTTTCATGATGAAGAATGTGAAGAGAAATTGCTGATAACTTAAAACTGGATTGAATGACCAATACAAGCAGTTTCCAAATTAGGTAATCCTCACCCATGTAATTCTAAGGATATGATACTAACATGGCCTTTGGTAGAAAATTCAAAAATCATCTTAACACAAATGTTTCTGAGAAAGACAGAGCCCCATTAATAGCATACCTATTAGACAACTTAACTATAACACTACTGAAAAGATTGACTGAGATAACACTGAAACCTTTGTCCCAACAGAATTCGACCTTGACATAGATACCAAACCATTTAGCCCACAGGAGCACCTCAGTTTTGGGTAGAGTCAGAAGATACAATGTAGGTTTGAGGGGAAAATAATAATATTGTAACACTGTTTATAAGTGCCATGTGGCTTTAATGTCCCAAGTTATTTAAAGCATTAATTAGGATTGATCATGACCTTTTATCCAAATACAATTACCGTATTTTTTTGGAGTATAACACACTCCAAAGTATAAGACGCACCTAGCTTTTGGGGAGGAAAACAAAGGCGGGGGGGAGATCTGCTTCTTCCTCCCAGCAATTTGTCTCCTTGCAGCAAACAGCATGGTCAACTTCAGCACAGCCTGATTTAGTGCAAGCAGCTGATTGGGGGTTTGATTGGCCTCCCGGAATTGCTTGGAGGCAGAAACCGAAGTGTGGGGGCCGGAGGGTAGGCGGGGCTCCTGCAACATTTGCTATGTAAGACATACAGACATTTCCACCCACTTTTTTTTTTGAGGGGGGAAGACATCTTATAGTCCAAAAAATACAGTATATGTTGGTAACAGCTTCCTGTTTTGACTCCATTTTCATAATTTATATGATATAGTTTTTGACTTCTAGAACTCCTAACTCTGTTTCCTTTTGACCAAAGCATCTATCTTACTTTCTAGGCTAGGTGAATATGAATTTTTAACACACTACTTAGCCTTTTGTGTGAACTCAGCCACAGAATATGCTAAAATGAGAGTTATTGTGCTTTAGATGTATTTCTGTCTTATTTTTAAATATTAAATAATAAAAATGAAGATATATCAAATTTTTGAAACATTTGCAATTTAATATTTTAGGAAAAGTAAATTGATATTTAGTTGATATTTAAGTAGAAAACACAGTTTTAAGTACCAACGATCGTTTTAATTTGACCATCATTAAATGTTCAAGCATTTTCTTCAGATATTTTTTATACTACAGAACTGTGACAATTTTCTGATGTACAGTAGATTCCCTCAGAACTGTACTATAGCGCTATACTCTATACTACAGAACTGTAACAAAAATGTTGGTGTAGATTCCCTCAAAGAATATAAGATCCTACATTGTAACATGATTGACAATTTAAACTAAAGATAACTGCACAAATAATATATCATTAAGACCTACCTTTCTTGGGTTTAGTAAACCAATTATCATAGATTTACTATCAATGACTGATTTACTGCCAATTTCTATTCAAAAAAATATGATCTAACTTTAATAATTTAGTAAATTATTACTATTAATTTAATAATGAATAATTTAATAATTAGGTACAATTCATGGGGAAAAAACTCATGTGGAATCCATTGTGTTTAAGTCTTGCATAAGGTTGTTACCCTGTAGAAAATTTTACTTATCCCTTCCTCATGAGAGGTATGGGAAATAATAAGAATGCATCTACCACCAAAAAACGTTTTTAATAGAAGAAAACAGATACACATACATTTAAATACACATAGACTTTTCTGAGTCATTGTCCATTCTATTAAAAATAAAATGAACATGCTTCTGCTTCAGTTAATGCTAAACTGTTGCTATCAGAGGTCTTCTTCCACCCATAAATGAAGTCAGGTAGAATGAGCTTTGTAGAGTCTGCAGAGCTGAAATAAATAATTGTTATGATTTTTCTAGGTAGCTGAAAAAGAACATCTTATTTCGTAAGAGTAGGGAGGAACGTGCTGATTCCTGAACTGATACATCACAATATTTGAAACTGATTGATGAACAAGCAAAAGTCCACAGTCAAACAGGCAATGATTTTCTCTCTTCACTTTTATGAACAGCACCATGTGCTTCCCATTTACATTTTGTGTTATTTTAAAATCTCCTCAGTGAAATGACATTTTGTTATGCCGCAGCAGTGTCTCTGCTAAATTCTTTATGCAGGAAGGGGGAAAAAAAATCCCTTCTAATAAATTGAAATAGGGTGCCAGGAGCCAGTTGTCAATTATTGATACAAAGCAAAATGAAAATCTGAAAGTTAAATACCACTCAATTGTGTATTTATGTTTGCAGGACCAAAGGGAGAGAACTTATTCAACAGTGAAAACCAGAGCCACTTCTGCTTCGGTTAATAATCTGAAACCAGGAACTGTATATGTTTTCCAGATTCGTGCTTTTACTGCTGCTGGCTATGGAAATTATAGCCCTAGATTAGATGTTGCTACACTAGAAGAAGCCACAGGTAACAGTTACTTACAGTTTTTGACAATTAATATCACCAAGGAAACCCAAAACTTACAGCAAATTAGTGGAATGGAAACATTTCTGCCTTTTTCAATTATAGTCTCATTTCTCACTTCTCAATTAAGGTCTTAAGATTTCCTCTAACTTACAAATAAGACTTAATTTTTTTAACTGCCATTATCTGTATATATATATATAGACTTTATATATTAGGGCTGTTGCTTTTTGCTATGAATTCTTCAATAGAAATTTAAGGGTTTAAAAAAAATCATAAAGTAACATGTACAGTTGTACAACACAAAATGATTCAATGTCTTGAGACTTTTTACTTTAACATTCCAAATGAATGGATGGTATTTTTTGTTCACATTCAGATCACATGATTATTTCTTCTTGAATGCTTCTGATATCAATAATAGTTTCTCGATAGAATCTTTATTGCTGGCTCTTAGCATAACATCTTTTCTATCGACACTGTATATATTTAGGAATTATTCTCATGTCTTATTTATATAACTCCATGGTATCTCATTTTCCAAAGGGAATAAAAACTGACCAGAACAGCTATATTTTTCTCTAGTTTTTAAGTTGCTCTTCTGAGGATTATGAAAAGCCTACACACTTTCTATCTTCAATACTTCTCTTTAAATATTTATATTTCAAAAATACCATTAAATTTATTTAATTCACTCTGGATGCTAGCAAGAATGGAAGTAGGGAATAGCAAAAGTTATCATTTATAGAAAACTATATACAGAGATAGACATTATATACAAGAGTAATTGCAAACATCTGCTACACATTATTCCTTTAGAATGCTTTAACTATTGCGCAATGTTCACAACAAAAACAAGATACTTATCTATATACCACCCAGAACTAGGTCTGTTTTGGGACTTTACACTTAGGCTGTGGCTTTGTCTAGATGTAAAGTCCACTTAACAAGATGATTTCTGAGACCTGATACAAATCTTATATATTAGTGAATTCTCTTCCAAATTCATTTATAGCTGCAATTACTATAGCCTTGTTCTTATTACAGGTAGTCCTCCATTTATCACCACAAATAAACTCAACATTTCTGTTGCTAAGCAAGACAGTTGTTAAATGAGTTTTGTTCCCCTTTTGCAATCTTTCTTGCCACAGTTAAGTGAATCGCTGAAGTTGATAAGTTAGTTAACATTGTTGCTAAGAGAATCCCCATTGTCTTTGCTTGTCAGAAGGTCTCAAAATTGTTACAAATACATGCCAGTTGCCAAGCATCTGAATTTTGATCACATGACCATCATAAGTGTATGAAATCTGATCATAAGTCATCTTTTTCAGTGCCATTGTAACCTCAGTCACTAAATGAATTGTAAGTCAAAGACTACCTGTACTTTGATATAGGCCTCATGTTCCTCTCCCTCTTTCCCCTCTCCCTATCCCTTGTCTTATCCTGTCCCCTTACTCTTGGAAGAGTTTGGTTTTGTAATGAAGCATTCATTTGAAAGAGGGAAAATGTGTACGGCAGCCATCTCCAGCATGTGAGAAACAGTAGTCTGCCCAGGTTAAGAAATTGAGAGGAGAGGTTATGGGGAGGAGAATGTATAAAGATTTATAGCAAATATATTGGGGACTGTATATGAGAGAAATATATTTGAGCATCAGATATTATTCATGAGTATCTGAACTTTTGGACATGGTTTATCTGTTGTGAGGAGGACAGGAAGAAATATCTTAAGAAACAAAGGACTTAGCTCTTTCTTGATGGAAAAAAGGTAGCAAGCAGAATATTTCTTCCAAATAAAATAAAATAAATGCATAACTAAAGGTTTTAACCAAAAATGGGGAGGAAAAAAAATAGTCCTTTTGTTACTTTATTCCATTATCATTCCCACATGCCTTAACCTTTAAGGAGGACCTGGTTTTTCCATTATTTGGGGATTTCTGTTTCTCACCTGACAGCTGCTCTTCTAGCATCTTTCCAAAATTGGAGCTGCAGAACAAAAGAACATTCATATCCCTTCATTCTCTAGAGACATTTTAGGAAGTCCCGTGCAGGACTGTGCAGAGATCCACTGAAAAATAAAGCTAATGATGCAACTGAAACTTCATTTTACACAGAGCAATTTTGTTTTAACTATTACCATGAAAAAGTAACAAAATGTTTTCAATATCTGTTACTCCTTGCTAAATTGAGGGGAAAACAACAGTTGTGGGAATAGATAGAGAAAGAATGCACACATCAAGCATAAGGGAACCAGAATATCTTTAATTTTATTTTTATTTGAATGGTGCTTAATTTTGGGTTTCTAGGAACTATGGACAAAAAACCTATGAAAAAGGTTTTTGATACAGGTGGTACCACTGTTTCTAAAAGGCAGTATAGATTTGCATATTTAGTCTATTAACTTCTGCAGATTTACTTTTTAAAAATTATATTCCAGAATTGCTATATTTTTTCAACCAAAATTTGCAGATTTATTTAAGCAATTGTGTTGGCTGGCAGAAATGCAACAGATCCCATTTCCTGACATAAAGCTAAAGTAATGAGAAATCTATATGTGTTGAATGTTTTTGCCTGTCAGGCAAAATACCTTTCTCTGACTGAAGAACCAGACTTGTTTGCTGCTCACAAATACTGAATACACATTCTGTTCAATAGATTTAAAAAAATGAAATTTATAAGAATGATGAGATAGATAGATAGGTAGATAGACAGATCTTAATTTTCTTAATGTTACTTCTCATCCTTACCTGTTTCTTTCCCTAATGCAGCTACTGCTGTTTCCAGTGAACAGAATCCTGTAATCATAATAGCTGTGGTAGCTGTGGCAGGCACAATTATCCTGGTTTTCATGGTTTTTGGCTTCATCATTGGGCGAAGGTATTACTTTAAAATATTAAGATGCTTAAAATAGCCAGGAATTGGAAAAACTCGAATGCACATTAATGATTGGTAAACAGATGGTTTATATAGATACCTGTACAGATTCTTGCTTGCCAGTGGGTGTAAACAGCTTTTGGGGATTGAAAGGAACAAAAAGTTTAGATCACAGAAGTATCTGATTCAATTCATATTACTAGATTTCTTTATGAATGTGTTACCAAAATATATGTTGATATGTGTATTTAAAACAATTTTGGCTATCTGAAAAGACAAATTCCAGGAAGAGTCACTACTTTTTCTTTTTTTTTAATAAACATTTTTTTTTTACTAAACAACACACAAAAATGATCATTTTACATTACATCTTGTAGAAAGTATGTCAATTGGTTACAATTAGCTTTCGTGCATCTCTTCCAGAATCATTACTTACATTCATATCGAATATCAAAGTTCTTAATGAGTCTTACTTTCCACATATCATAGTTCTCATTTAGCTGAAATTGTTTTAATGTCCTTTTGCCTAGAATAATTCATAGTTAAAAAAAAACAGCCACCTAATGGCATTTCATTAATTATTGCAAAGTCATCCAATAGCCTTAAACTTTTTTAACATATTCTAAACAAAAATTAGTTGACAAAATATCTGAGCCCTTTTCTCCCCTCAAATCACTGTTTACAATTTGTGTCCACGTTCCTTTTATTATGATAGTACATGTATGTATCATTAACTGTATCCCCTTATCCTTATCATTCCATTGTTAGTTGTTATAATTAATAATGGTTAACAAAAAAACCTTTACTGTTATATCTATTTTCTTCTCATCAAACCAACATATATGTATTGCCCTTGTCAATTATTTTTTTAACATAACCATCTATAAATTACTAAATTACTACTTACTAATTATAAAACTTAGTTAAATTTTTTGTTATCTACTTTCATATATCCAATAACATTATACCTTTATAACATATTCAAAATAAAAATTGATTATAATACTTTTTCTAACTGCTTATGAACCTAAAACACTACGTATAATAATCTGCACTCCATTTTTTAATGAATCCCATCATTTGTCTCTTCTGAGAGTTCTTTGAGCAAAAATAGTAACATACTGCAGGATATCAATCATTCATTAGTGATCACTGAATACTTATTTATTCATAAACAATCAGCTGTAACAGTACACATACTTTAAGCATGTAAAAAAAATCCTAGAATTATATTTCCTATTACGTTTGTATTATTACTTCATTAAAATGTGACAGAGTTTTAATTAAAAATTGTTTTCTCCCCCTAGACACTGTGGCTATAGCAAAGCTGACCAAGAAGGAGATGAAGAACTTTACTTTCATTGTAAGTGCTTTGCTGTTATTTCATCCAGGAGATTCCAGGCCAATTATAGTAGATTGGTCCTGGCACTAATAGAACAGTGACAGTGTTAAAAGACATTTTTTTGCTGAGAACAAACATTTTTAATTTGTGTAAACCACAAATGTAAAGTTTTAAAAAAATTACTTGTTCCAAGGTAACATCGTAAGTTTTATTACTGGGTTTTGATATACAGGTAGTCCTCACTTAGCAACTGTAATAAGGGATCTGTAATTATATTTCTAAGCACCCCAATTTCTAAGCAAAAAAATCATATGACTGCCAAGGGCTTTATGACCTCACTTCTCCTTTTAATTGTCAAGTAAAACATCATGAAACATCATGCTTGTTAAGCAACATATGTGACTACTACTTACATTTTTACTTTGCCTTCCTTTGTTCACTCTGCTTATTGCAAGCCAGTTGCAAAGCACACAAATGGTGATCATATGTGACTGCAGGACACTACGATGGCCATGAATTCATACCAGTTGCAAAACGCCTGAATGGCAATCAGTGACTGCGGGATGTTGTGATTTTCATAAATGCAAGGATTGATCACAAAGCGGCTTTTTTTTTTATGCCATTGTAACTACGACCGTTTGTTAATCAAGGCAGTCAGTAAGCGAGCACTATCTATATGCTTCTTTCCAGTTCATAAACTTTGGATGAACATGCAATAGTTCCTTAATTATTCTTCTGGAGCAAAGATGATTGATGTAATTAATAATTGTTGGCCCAGAAAATTTTTGACTATGACATTTATATATTTCAGTTGTACCCAAATTGAAAAACTAATAATGATGAACATATATGATGAAAATAATAATGTTTCTTTCAAAATTTGTTTTCACTAAATAGCCAGCATGAAATGCGAAAGTATTTTATGTTGAAAATAGCCCAATCACGTTTTAACTTATCCGTGAACTGTATCAACTAACTTTAGTGCATATAGACATTAATTGAATATTTGAATTGTTTAAAGACAATATTAGTAATTGTCGATGTGAATGTAATCTTGTGTACTAATAATATGTGTATTATATTTATTTCATTAATTCTGTAATCCTTAACATTTCCATAGGAATAATGACTATCTGAATATGTATCCATCAGATTACAAAGTTTTCTAAATTTTGTCAATTTGCTACCCAGAAGCCAAGCAAATATTTGATAGTATCAAATTAAATTAATATTTATTTAAATTTGGACTTCGATTTTCATTGTATCAATATTTCTGCTGTGTTTTATATTTTGTACACTATTTTATGGTGAGCGGCAGCAAATGCTTATATAAGAAGAAAGATGGTGTAGAAATATATAGGACAAAATTGTATATTAGGACAAATTGCTTACCAAATATGGATGCTAAGAAAGTACATAGAAAATATGCATACCAAGAGAAATATGTATAATAGTTCATTCAGTAGTTTATGAAAATATTTTTTCTACATATGAAGTGATGCAGAAGAATACAGTTGGAAAAATAAGTATCTGAGAAAAGTGGAAATAACAGATTCACTCATCACACTTTGGAGATCAATAAGAGAACAGCTGTGAATGCAGATATGTGCAGGATGATAATTATTTAAATCATATGGAAATTTTTAGTTAAAATCCTGGAATTTCAGAATAAGGTGAAATAATATTAAATACATCCAAGAGCTGTGGTCCAGATTATATGTTCACTGTGCCAAGCCACCTGGATTTAGCTACTTCTCCCCCTAAATTTAATAACTAATGATAATGTTAATCACACTCTAATAGAAATATCTGGTATTCATGCCCATACAATGAATAAAAATTGCTCCTCAGCCTGCTGTTCTTATCTTGCAGTTTCATGATTTGATGCAGACTTGCCCATTTCTCGTTTTATGAATATATAGTGAAGATATCTATTTACATTTTCTGCTCCCTTATTTTGAAAATCTGTTGAACAATCAAAAGATGAATGGAAAATAGACCTATATTAAAGAGAAGCTACTGAAATGTGTAAAAAGACACCGTTCCGTATCCTTATAGCAAAAGAATTAATGTAAAAGTGCCAACCACAGAAATTTTACTCTAGCAATTCCTTGGTGCTCAGCATTGGATAGAGTGTGCTGTTTCTTCAAAGGAGGATTTCATAATGTACAGGAGCACATAAGAAACAACTATTTCCACACTCTAAAAGCAGCTGCATCTTTTCTCGGCTTAAGCAACTGCTTCAGAAACGGTTCCCAATTGTTTCCACATGTGTGTTCACATAAGTCCACCTTGCTTCTTATAAAAATTAGGAAAAAGGTGTTTTGTACAGATCCTCACACATTTCAAATTACTTTTTTTTTTTTTTGAAGGATTTGGTTTGTGGTAACTGGAGATTCAGATCCATGTTAAGTCAGAGTTTATATTTCCCTTTTCCTCTTTTAGGCTGTATTTGTTCAGATCATATGGCAGCATTAAAATCAATGTATGGCATTTTATTGGTTTCCCTCCACTGAAGGAAGGCTATCCTTTGATGACTGTGTATGGGAGGTAGATTTCTGAGAAGCCAGCAGCTGCAAGGGAAAAGGGTGGAATTACTGAAATTCTCCTTCTTGATCTCTAATGGAAGCCTTCCCTCAGCGAAGGAAAACAGTGGGTTTCACTCTTCACAGAGCACAGGTTGAAAACATCCTGTCTAAATCAAGCCTTACTGAGGAAACCGAAAACAGTAAAGAGGATTAGAATTACCACGTTCTCATTTGTTTTAAAAATAACGCAACGGCAGATATCCCACTGGTAAAATGGAATGATACTAAGAGTGTACGAGGATTAATAATAGTGTCTCATTTTAGTTGCAGTGAGAATCTTCACATATTTAAAATAGTTCTTTTAAAAAATGCACTTCCAGGTAATATCTGAGAAGAAGTGCAGTTAATTTTTTGTGGAGGGGAGAAGGAGACTTTCATGTATATGTGTTTTATAAGGGAAAGTGCTAGTCAAAGAATGCTTTCCTCAGCATGCACTGATTTTTAAAATTATATGTTTCGGGAAAATTATAAATAGGTTAACAGCTTAGTCTTAACTGTCAGAAACTGATTTTGAAAATAACATTTTACTCCTTCTTGTATTCCTTTCTAGAAGCTCAGTTATCCAATACTAAGGGACGATAAAAGCAGATAATCTACCATAAATTCTTACTTTTTTCCTCTTTCTTCATCTAATTATATTTTTTTAGTGTCTTTAGACAGAAAGCATAGTTTTTAATTTGATGTGGCCATTGTTTCAAAGGAAAAATTAAATAGCCTGCTGTATTCATTACAGGTGGTTCCCAACTTACAACCAATTGTTAAAAGTTACAACAGCTTCAAAAGGATGTTTTATGTCACATAAAGTACTTGCAGCTGTTGTAAAATGTCATACCATCACCCTCACCCCACCCTGCAGTGATATGTCTGCATTTCGAGCCCTTGGCAAACAGTTCACATTCATTAACAGGAGCTAAGTCCCCCACGGTCATGTGATGGCATTTGCAGTCTTCTCTGCAGGCTTTCCCAGAAAGTCAGTTGGAAGCCAGCAGGAAATATTGCAAGCACAGGGGACAGAGGGGTGCTGAAATCCTTTGTGAGATTTTAGGAAGGGAACTGAATCCTGAAGATTTTAGCTCCCTTCCTGAACCACCAGAGAGGAGTTCCCCTCCATGCACAGAGAGAAAGATAAATCCTTTGTACAGCTCCAGGGATAGAACTGAAATTCTTAGATTTCAGATCCATTCCTGCAGCTCCGTGAAGGATTTTCCCTCTGTTCAATGATGGGAATAGAACCTCTTTGTGGAGCTGCAGGAATGGGTCTGAAATCCTAAAGATTCTGGCCCACCAAAGATTTTGCCTCCCTGCTCATAAGAAAATAGAATTATTATTATTATTACTTTGGGTGGAGCATTTGAGAGAGAAAATGCTGCCAAGAGGATTTTATCTCTGTGTGGAAATGAAATTTCTCTTTTGCTCCATCAATTTAACAATCCAGGAGTTTGCCTAATGACTACAACCAGTAAATGCCAGGTTTGGAGATATTGAATGAAGCAGTCACATGGGTGTCTTGCTTAATAACCACTTCACTCAACAATTGAGATTCCAGTCTCAATTGTGATTGTAAATCAAGGATTACCAATAGCCATTTCAATTTTTTCATCTTTTTGTTCCTGCACAATCTAGACAATATGCTGACATATTGAAGAAATTAGACCTAATTTCTAATGATAAACTGTAATAGCAACTCTTAACGAGCTCAAAGCACAAGATTGGACAAAATATCCAATCTTCTCTCTCAGTTTTTACTGAATTTTTTTACCTTTCAATAATCTCAAATATTACATTTTAAAGGATATAGAAACATACAGTAGAAAAGTTCAGTTAAGCAATTCCCAATTTACATTTTGTTTACTCTTTCTGTTTTCTTTTAGCAGTGCCTTTGAATCTGAACAACATTACTTCATGTTGATATGCCAAGAGAACTTTGGCATGTCAAAGTGTTTTATGACAGCTTGAATAAAGTACCATCAAAGACCCATTTGAAATTCACAAGGTTACCTCCAATTCAGACCCTTACTATAAGTGCAAGGAGAAGGTTCATTCTCCATCTGCTTGCCTGAAAACATAATATAGATAGTTAAGCTGTTGTTTTTCAGGATGTTCCTTTTTCCTTTGGAATGTAAATAAGAATGACTATCTATCAACTCCAGAAACTGAGTTATTATCATTAGTACTAATATTATTGTTTGACTTAGTCAAAAATGCTATGCAGAAAAATTAACATTTGCAGAATATTTGCATAATATCTATATTGCTGAGTCAAGGTTAACTCAGCCTTCGATCCTTCTGAGGTGGGTAAAATGAGGACCCAAATTGTTGGGGGCAATATGCTGACTCTGTAAAAGGCTTAGGGAGGGCTGTAAAGCATTGTAAAGCGGTAAATATTGTCAGAACAAAGGCCAAATTCTTAATAATGACACTCTTTTTGAACTCAGAAATGCATACATATATTCCAGAATGCGTATATACTGTGACTAATACGGTATAGCTTTCATATAATAAAATATGATTAGCATTGTTTGGACTTTAGTATCATTGAAAAGTATAAATTACAGGTAGTCCTCAACTTATGATTGTAAAACTTACAGTCAAAAGTCATTGTGGTCATAAGCCAAGGCATCATGAGATCTGATTTTTCAACATTTTTGTAGCGGTCATAAAGCAAATGCCATGGTCATTAAGCAAATCTGTTTTCCCCAATAGGTGGCAATTTTTGCCAGAAACTGAAAGTAAACACCGGAAAACAACAAAAAATGTCACAAATCATGACCATGGCAGACTGCAAATGGGTGTTAGGATGAGCAAGTTGCCAAGTGTCCCAAATGAGATAACATGACACGGTGGGCAAGGAACAACTGGCATAACTTCAAAAACATGTTGTAAAGAGACCTGTCATAAGTTTTAACAGTCCTTAATTGACCAGTCATAAGTCAAAGACTGACTATTGCTTGTTAGGACCAAATATAATTTGTGTGTCCAGTTCCTAACTCAGAAAAATATAAGTACTGTTTGACCGATGCCTGGCATAGTTGCCTATACTGAGTAGGGGGGGGGCGGGGAGGAAGTGATATCTTATTTATTAATCCATCTTCTATTTGACCACCTGTAAAACTGTTTGCTGGCCATAAACAAAAGAAAATCTGGGTGTTTCTGGAAAAATAACTTGATTACCTTATATACCAAATGTTTTCTAATGCAATCACTCTGCTTCCTCCTTGTGTACCTATGAGAGATCCAGATGAAAAAGTAATCCCATTTATAAAATGTATTTTTATTGCATTTATATTTTATATATAAATCAGAATGTCTTTACAATGTTTGATTGTTTCAGCTAGGATCCCCTCATGTGGAAGCACACTTGGTTTAACAAAAGCTTCTCAGTTCTAGGGAATATTTTACATAATTAAATCTCGGGGTTGAATGCAACATAAATGGTTTGCTTCATCACAGTCATGCTTTCTTACATCATTACAGTTAAATTTCCAGGCACCAAAACCTACATTGATCCTGAAACCTACGAAGATCCCAATAGAGCAGTCCATCAATTCGCCAAGGAGTTAGATGCTTCCTGTATTAAAATAGAGCGTGTGATTGGTGCAGGTAAGGTGACTGGCTTCATATACGATTCTTGTATCAAAACTCATATTTCATGATGACAAGCAAATAATTATATTTACTTATCTAGCTTTTGGCTTACATCGGGGTAATTAGAGGCAATGGATTGCTCATATGTGTAAACCAAATATGTAAATAGCCTGGTGGTCCCAAACATTTGTTTTTATTTAGGAAAAAATGAATACCATTGCATATTATAATTCAAATAATTTGGTTTGAGTTACACATTATTTAAAGAAAAAATGCATTTGAATTCAAATGCAGATTCCTTATAGACTTCACCAAATGCTTTCATTAAATTACAAATGGAATCTATGTGCATATAAAGGATATTTCCATGAAGTTAAATCATATTTGTCCAACTAGGAATTGGTTTATAGAGCCAGCTTTTCTTCGGGGAATATTTTTGTTGCCATTCCTAAAATTTCATTGCTACAAAAAGTTCTTGTCTTGGCTCTTATGAGTGATTGTAATTGTGCTGTCATTACATTGCTTTCCTTCCTTTTCTCATATATTTAGGCAATGGTGTTCCGTGGTCTGAAAACCTGTTTCCATTTGTTTGCATTAATAAGAGATGTGACACTTTCATTACACTAGTTCATGTAGTGAAATTAAGTGTCCATGTGCAAGAAAGATGTCAAATACCTAAGACTCCTGGAGGAAACATTCTTTGACTTCCTGTTGTTTTATGGTATATCTTTAAAGACCTTTTTTAAAGATCACCATTGCAGGAGTGTGACAAGCACTATAATGTATAATCATTTTTAAAGGAGGAAATACTTTTGTTAAAAAGAATATCTGAAGGACAAATAAATCTCATGAATATTTACAAAGAAATAATTTCCAGTCACTTCAGTCATTTATATTTTTTTATTTATTCCTAAATCAATGATTGTATGAATGTAGTCACAGGAATCAAACGGCCTTCAATTAAAAGTATATTCTACTATATATTCTGAATCAGAATCTATTTTAATGTATGATTTTTCAATTGAACTTCACAAAACCTCCATAAATAGCATTTGAATAAGAATTTCTACTCTTGTGTTGCCACTATTCTTATAAACACTTAGCCGTAAGTATTTTCATTTCACAAAATAAGTAATTGACCATAGGAACTGGATCCTCTATGCAAACTCTAGATAGTTCTCTATTGAATGACTACTGCTGGAAAAACTGGATTCCTGGGGAGAATTGATTTTTTTCACCCTTGGAGATAAATACGCCAGCTTTTCAGAATTGCCAGATGCACATATACTGTAGAAAGTTACAGAGAAACTAGACAGAGACCCCAGTTGAGTAAACATGTGTTAAGCTCAAGAAACAGAAATCTTGAGAAAGAAGCTCAAAGTGACTCCCTCTAATTGACTGGGATAAAAGAGGGAAGAAGTAAAGAAGAGAAAACTCCACCAGACATTCAAGATTCTGTTACTGTAACCTACTTACATCTGTAAAGTATAGTTTTGGTCAGATTTGTGGAATCTGTTTCCTGATCTGGCCTACCTCAAAGGACTAACACACAAATAAACATCTCCATTTTGTCCCGGGTTGCAAATTACAAAGTGCCATTGTAACATATTCACATATTCACTGCAAACTCAGTATTTAAACTTAGTTTCTTTATAGCTTAGTTCAGGAGTCATAATTTACTGAGTAATATTAAGAGGGAAATGCCCCAGATACCCTAGATTGATAATGAAAAATGACTAGCCACATCACTCATAAAATATAAAAGTAGAGAACTTCTCTATGACAAGTGGCATTGAAATTTCTGCACTTTACACTGTTATTCCAGTGCAATTGTCCATGGAATAAAAGCTCTTAGTCTTTCGGTGGTTGATGTGCATTTTTGATTTTGATGACTGCACTATAATTTTCTGCTGACAAGTTTATGGTAGACAGCAGTGCCCATGTATAATAGGCAATCTCTGGTGTACTGCTTCTTCTGTTTATGGCATATGTTTTTTGTAATTTCTGGATTGCTGAACTATTGAACACCGAGAGCCTGAGCTTACAGAACTAAATATTTTTGTATGCCTTTCTTTTGGTGGGATTTTCTAATTAAGGACGATGTTTCAAAATACTTGCTTATTTGAATTTGAGAAAAGGCTGAAATTAAATCCTAGCAAGATCAAGTTGCTGCTGATTTTGTCTTAGCCTTTATGCTAATTCTAGATGGAGTTACAGTCTCCATGATGAAGCAGGTTAATAATTTGGATATCCCCTTGGACCTGTGGAACCTGCTGGAACAGTATATGGACACCCAGGCTTTGACTAGTTACAGGGTTGAGCCATTTTTAGAAGAGGAAGCCAATATTTAAATTGTTACTAATTTGGACTGCTACATACACTTTACTTGAAATTGCTTGAATTTTGACTGAAAGGGATCCAGATACTCTTCTAGTTGATGAACATGAGTACATTAAAACTGTTACACAAACAGTCTCAATAACTTTCCCTAAAAAAGAAAGGTTGAACACTGGATGAAAATTAGCAAGTACAGTGGTATAAAGCAATGGCTTCTTCTGGGGAAGATTAGCCAACATCTCCTTAAGAGCTGGAGAAAAGTCCCTTTTCGCTAGGAAAACTTCACCACTGCAAAAACCCATTTATGCAATATACACATCACTATCCCAGCAGCCTTGTTTATCCAAGAGGTGCAACCTAAGGAGCAGCTTGGCCAAACTCATAGTCATGGCTGAGTCATACATGTCCATTTACTCAGGTGCAACAGGTTCAAACCAATATTGGATTAACAGGGCAAGGAATCTCAACAGGTCCTGCACCAAAGTTGCCATTGCAACTAAGGGGGAACAAAATTTGATTGATTCTTGCTTTAAAAGAAGATTTTAAGATTGATCATTTTTAAAGCTTGCAAGGTTTTTCTTAATTTCTTGTTTTCTATTGCAATTGTTGTTCCTTTATGACTTTTTGCTTTCTGCCCAGAATCTCTGGAGAAGGAGAGCATGACTGGAGGATTTTTTTTTAAAGGTGTTGAACTTTGCTTGGATTATCTTTTGTCCTCTTACTGATTTGATTTTCATTTTTCAATAAATGGAGACATTGTGCCTTGCTTCTTATTGCTGTGAACTAAAATGATTCTGTTGTAAATAAATGTTTGTTTACATTCAGGAGAGTTTGGTGAAGTATGCAGTGGTCGTCTAAAGCTTCCAGGCAAAAGAGATGTTGCAGTGGCCATTAAAACCTTAAAAGTGGGCTATACTGAAAAACAAAGAAGGGATTTTCTTTGTGAGGCTAGCATCATGGGACAGTTTGACCACCCCAATGTGGTTCACTTGGAAGGAGTTGTTACCAGAGGTAAGTTGCAATCAGTTCTGATTTTGGAACAACTTTCCAAATTCTACCCCATTGTTATAAAGTTTCCATAGTGCGTGGTTCAAATCATATCATTGTACTACATAAAATAATGGACTCTTTTGTTCTCTTGATGCGTGATTTAACTAAAGCAATATTAAATGCATCCTACAGCTTGAGAGAAAAAAAAACTTACAAGATTTTTGCACATAGAAGAGATGGCAACACTTTGTAACATTTTTTTCCTAGTCACATTTCACATTAAATAAAATTCTCAGTGTCTTTTCTTATTAAATGAAGTGTCGTTTTTCCAGAGTTCAGTTCACACAGCAGGAGACAGAAGAACACACTGACATTTTGATTTGTATGGTTTAATTTTTTGAGTCATGATCGTTTTTTTGTACAGAGACATTTAAGGACTTAGTAGATCACAGGAACTATTTTGGAAACATTAGGAGCAGTCATGCCTCATTATTCATCTTTCAAAGAAACAACATGTTTTATCAAAATGGGGACATTCTGTTCAGATATAATTTCTTTAAACTAAATATGCCTCCCTTTTTCTATTTCTTTTAGGAAAACCAGTAATGATTGTAATAGAATACATGGAGAATGGAGCACTGGATGCATTTCTCAGGGTGAGTGCCTGAGGGAAACATATATAGCACTTCAAAAATAATATATATATATATGCTACCAATTTAACATAATAAAGCATTTTCAATGTAAAATGAGAACACACTAAATTTTAAGAGATATCTGAATGGTCTTGGTAAAATCAGATTAGAAATTAGAAGACCAGACAGGATCAAACAACATTTTTGGCCATCTAAGTGATCCAACATGGCATAGATACAGTGGTTTTGATTAGCATTACAGACTTAAGACCTGGAGCCATGTTGTGGGAACACAGTTATAGTTTTTCTCCATTGAAGAAAAGACAGTCTCTTTAAATTAATGCAGAAATAATTCAAAAAACCAAGGAAGCGCTTTTTTAAGATCCCTGCATTAGCATTATTTTACATGAGTTTCTTGTTTGTAGCAGGCAACATATAGAACTCTAACTCAGCCCTTAAGAACATTCATTAATATTAATGAATATGAATAAGATTAATAGCAAAATATTATTCAAGGCTTTTAAAGTACAGTGTTGATTTCATTGCCAATCTTTTTGGCAATTGGTTTTCTATCAATAATCTGTGCTTCTGATTTGCGTGTATAAGCGTGCATGTGTGAATGTTCTATTTGTGTCAATAGGCTTGATTTATTGTGTCTAGGATCAGCTTGTACTTATAATTAAAATATTTCGACATCATGAAATAAAACCTGAGAAAGCAATTTTGCTCAGCTATCATTATGTGAATAAATATATTTGATTTACAGGAATGGGATTGTTTTTTTTATTTCCCTGCAGTGTGGAAAATTGAAGGCGTATATGGTTTTTGATAATTTGTGCAAATTTAAAAGTTTCTCATTTAGGATAAAAGTATTTAAAAGTATTTTCTGCCCTATGTATTTTGTTTTTTTAACAGATTCATGTGGCTATTTTTATACTCTCCTGACTTATTTTTATTAACTATGCAGGATTACACAAATGAATGTATGCATGTATAATTTTTAGTATCAATTTATATTCCCCCCCCCCCAAATATTAAAGGTCTTAATGTGCAGCTTCAAACATCATATATCAGGGGTCCCCGGTACTGGTCCATGGGCTCTTAGGAACCAGGTCACACAGCTGGAGGTGAGCATCAAACAAGCAAGCAAAATGTCTTCCATGAAATCAGTTCCTGGTGCCAAAAATACCCAGGACCGCTTTGCTATAGAATTACACATTTCTTCATTCTTTTACAATCCTATTTCTTCATTATTTTAAACTATTAATGTAATATTTAAATAAATTAATAATTTAATTAATGATTTAAAAATTAGTTAAATGATTTAAATAAACATCAGGCCCACTTTCCTTCAAAAAATGGTGCTTGCAATGTATGGAATCATATTTGTGAATTGTAGCGGTTTTGCATTTTTAAAACATTGGAACAGCATTACGAGAATGAATGAATGAATGAATGAATATACATAGCGATATACATGGACATAAATATATACAAGAATTTGTGCAAATACTTTCAGGACATAAAAGCACACATTTCACTCCTGAAAACACCCCTGAAATGGATTCCAACATCACTTATAGTCAGCTCCCAAGGCAAACAAAGTTACGTATGCCTGTCTGAATGCCATCCTGCATTTAGTTTCTTAAAGGTACAGATTGAACATGTTTACTGTCTTTCCTCTCAAGTACTTTAAGCAGCATCTCTGTTTCTGTCTTCATTTCAGAAACACGATGGGCAGTTCACAGTAATTCAGCTGGTTGGAATGTTGAGAGGAATTGCTGCTGGAATGAGATACTTGGCAGATATGGGATATGTACACAGGGACTTAGCAGCACGCAATATTCTGGTCAATAGCAATCTTGTTTGCAAAGTGTCGGACTTTGGTCTCTCCAGAGTTATAGAAGATGATCCTGAAGCTGTCTACACCACAACTGTAAGTTGTGCACTTAAAAGAAAAAAGTCCACCCAGTATACTCTCATTTTCATATACAATAATACATTAGGTTGGGTTTGCTTTGGAAGAAAATGTGCCAGATATTTATTGGGAAGGGAGGTTGTGCTTTGTTGGGTTTTGTAAATTTTCTTATTTAACAAATATTCATATAAAAAACTTCATACTACAACGTCATGTTATAAGTAAAACGCAAAAGGATTCAAAAAGGATCCCCAAATGTGGCTTCATCCAGTGGGTTGTTTTTGTTTTTTGTTTTGTATTCCTTCTTCCTTTCTGATTATTTTTCATTTCTTGGGAACTGTTTATTCATTCAGATATTTTGTCCTCTGGAATATGCTTGTATCATCTTATCTACACACCAGTAGCTTTCTAACTGAAACATCTCTTATTTCCCAAAGATTCGTTTCCATTGAGCAGAACTACATTTAACTATCCTTGACCATTATCTTAGACTTGAACTATTAATAAGTCATCTTCTTAACAAAAGAATTAGTTGATAAATTTATTGTACAACTCCCAATAATGATGATGTGATAAACTTCTACACCAGTTGCTCCCAACTTTTTTTTGGCCATGCCCCACCTAAGCATCTCTAAAATCCTGATGCCACCCCCACCTCCCCGTGACATATAATTCTTAATTTTACTCAAAAAGTAAACTCTGCTCACCCAAAGGAAGCCTAAAAGGCCATTAACTTATTTTAAGCAAGGTTCAAATTGTCCCCATTAAAAATCAAATTGCCCACCTGTGAGGCATGGGCCCCATGTTGGGAACCACTGCTCTACACAAATCTCTCACAATTGTTTAAAATAGCTTTTTAAAAAATAATAATAATACTGTTTGGGAAGTCATGTAATAGGGGAAGCAACAGGCCATTATTTAGATTCTTGTTTATGGAATGCATAAGTTGAAACACTCAGAATTGAAAGGGGGAAAAGCAGCAGGATAGTGTTCTTCATAAACCATCATAAAGGGTCAAAAGGAATTGCTCGTTTTCTGCTTTGTTTTGCTTTTAATTAATTTTTTTTTGGGAAATCTGCATTCTCTGCTGTGCACAATTCCAAAGTTGTTGTTGTTGTTGTTTTTCATTTATACAATGAGCAAGTTTTGAGAAGCAATAACATGGAATAAGATGAAAAATTTGTATCATCAGTTGAGATTGGGAAGCTTTGCTGCTATTCTTCATGGAGAATCAAATACTTGAGTGGTGGGATGGATATCAGGAATAAAAAGAGGTTAGGGCCAATAGTTCCTCAGTTTATCTACTTCTGATCTAATTAGGGGACAATGGTAATAGTGTCTAAAATGTTTGAAATACTATGTACTTACCCAATAGATATGCTTTTGTATATATGCACCATTACTGACTTGTGATAGTACAGTGCAGTACTGCAGGCTAATTCTGCTGATTGCCAGCAGTTCAATCTTGACCGGCTCAAGGTTCTCTCAGCCTTCCAGCCTTCCAAGGTCAGTAAAATGAAGACCCAGATTGTTAGGGGCAGTATGCTGACTCTATAAACTGCTTAGAGAGGGCTGTGAAGCACTGTGAAGCGGTATATAAGTCCTATTGCTATATTGCTGTGAGCTTGTTTTCAGAAACATTCTTTTCCCATAGGGTGGCAAAATTCCAGTAAGATGGACAGGCCCAGAAGCCATACAGTACCGGAAATTTACATCAGCGAGTGATGTATGGAGTTACGGAATAGTCATGTGGGAGGTGATGTCTTATGGAGAGAGGCCTTATTGGGACATGTCAAATCAAGATGTAAGTTGCCAAAATGTAATTATACTCCTTATAATAATGTAATTATACTCCTCTCTCTGCACCTACCTACTGTATTTCTCTTTCCCTCCCTCCCTCCCTCTCTCTCTCTCTCTCCCTCTCTCCCTCTATCCCTTTATTCCTCTCCCTCCCTACCTACCTACTGTATCTCTCTCTCTCTCTCCCCCTCCATCTACCTACTTACCTACCTACTCTCTTTCTCTCCCTACCTACCTACTGTATTTCTCTCTAAATATATATATCCCTCTATCTACCTACCTACTCCCTCCCACCCTCACTCCCTACTGTATTTCTATGTAGACAATTCTATGTACTCAAAAGTTTATATATTCTATTCTACATTTAACTAAAATATTTATGAAGCTCTGTTTTTAAATACAGGTTTATGAAGATTCTTTGTCCTCAGAGGATATCTTTCTGTTATTATTTTTTTACTCCACCTATACTTATATTTCAATATTTCTGGGCCACTAATTATATTACAAAATTCAAAGAATTATGAAATCCAAAGGCAAATTACAGTTTGATGAACAGAAGTTGATTAGTAAGATACCTGAAGCTAAGCTGTGAGAACTTTTCTTAGTCATATACGTAAATATTTTTATAGTTCTACGAGCACTTTGGATCCCCAACATAGAGAAGCAGCCAAATTCAGTAAATAATACAGAAAACAAATAAATGAAGTAATAGAGCTATTTAAAAATAACAAATGAAGAAAGGAGTGAATAATCTTTCATCCCACACATTTGTGTTCTATAATGTATCGTAGCTGTTTTTCCATTATCTTCACAAAAAAAATGCAATATCTGCAACAGTTCACACATTCATTTATAAAGAAGGCCAAACTATTTTATAGTTCAGAAATTTTCCCAATCTTGACTGTAAAGTCAGGCACTATTATGCTTAAAGTTTTGATAAGAGCAAGGACTCTTTCTTACTGCATTGAAGTCTATTTTGTGTAAGGAGTAAGCATCTTCTTAGTCACAAGGAGTTCATAGAAAAGGACCAACAAATGCTTTTATAAGATCTATATTGCATCCTATAAAAACAACTTCTAATCCACACCTGCATAAACAAGCCTGAGGCTAAGATTTAGGGTGTGGAGTTGACTACACGTTTTCGTTTTCTTATTTTGTAAAGAAAAAAAAAGACAGATTCAACCCTATGACTAAAGATAGTAAGAAGGTGTGAACTAAGTTATCTTATTTCATGTTAGAATATTTTTTCTTCCATTTATAAGAGGATTATATTTTTTGTTTTGTTTTGTTTTTTTTATTAGCCCGACATGCTTCTTTAGTGTGTTCATCTGAATCACTTTATACTAAGGACATTCTTATCTCTTACCAGCAGATAAGATTCATAATGGATTTATAGAAAGTTAACTTTTATACATAATTTTCTGGATTTTTTTTAATCTTCTTGAATATAATAGTTTACTTCCACCAGTAGAATAGATTAAATATAGGGACAATTGTGTTAGAAATCCATCAAAGAATAGTCTAAAAGAAACATCAAAGTATTTCCATTCTGGTTTGAGCAGTTGGATATTATAGATGCTAATTGGCAAGATAAAGAATAAACAGTTTAAAACTAGATAAATAGGTAGGATGACCAGTCAAGTAAGAAAATTCATAATTTCTTCTCACCATATTTTAAGTCAGTTGTATATAAATTTTGAGTCAGAAAATGGAATTAAAGCATTATACAATTTGCTTAGCAGTTTTCATACTCTGTATTTAATTGTACTGTATTTTATCTTATTTACATATTTGAAACTTATATTAAGTCTATAAAACTAAAATCAGGAAATTAATATATAGATACCCAAGATTGCTATCACCATATTTTCATTTAATATCCATCAAGGATTATTGAAACTCTAGTCCAAAGAATTTGAAAGGTACTTTACTGCATACCTTTCTTATGAAAACAGTGGCTGAGATGTCATTATATGAAATATTGAAAGGCCAGGTTCAAGTTGCCATTTCACCAACAATTTCACAAGAATTTGACTAAATTTAATTAATTTAGTCATTTTCTTTCACTGTAACTTAATTCACATATAGGATCATATGATGGATAATTCTGTATATGTTGCGTTGAGCTTTTTAGAGAAAATGTAGAATAAAAATTATGAATAAATAACAGAGAGAAATGTAAGAAATAATAAATGCACTTAAAACAATTGGAAAACTCTTGATTTATGTAAGATATCAGTGCATTTTTTTTCTTTTTTATTCATTGGCTCGGGACCCATCATGAAACATAATAATTATATTCTATTTATCTATGTAAAGAAATAAGCATATATCAGGAATAAGTGAAATTTCTGTCTGCAAATCAGCAGTCCATTACAATACTCTATATTCTACAAAAATTATCTATATATATCAGCATTTGTGCTGATAAATAAATAAAGGGAGATTAGTATAGATCTATTTCAAGCTATTTAGCTCTCATCAGCTAGCCATACTCTTACTGGGATTCGAACCTGGGTAAGGGTATGGCTAGCTGATGAGAGCTAAATAGCTTGAAATAGATCTATACTAGTCTCCCTTTATTTATTTATCAGCACAAATGC